TCTCCTGTCAGCTTAGGTAGCGTCTTCACTAAGTGGTACAGCAGCACCACTGCAGCAAGTATAGACAAGCCCTAACCTTGCAAGGATGCCCTAGGCTCTCAGATAATGAAGAATCTGTTTTATGTAAACTATTTTTTCATTGTTCATTCGGTTCTTCCTATTTTTTTTGCAGCTGCAGAACGTAAGTTTTTTGTTGTTGTTTATTAAGAGAAATGTCTAACATGATGAGACAGAACCTCAGCTGGTGTAAATACGACTAGCTCTATAGAGCTGTACCAGTTTACACCAGCTAAGAATCTGGCTTGATGTTTTACAATATATGAGATAAAAAAAGAAATCAGTAGCCATAAAAGTAATTATGAATGCAGATATATTTATTTTAAATAATACTTTAGTATTTTTTCTGTCTCGGACTCCTGTAGCTTAATTAAGACTAAATAGTATTTTATGACAGTTTGTGGAGGGGGCAAACAGATGTTGAGCTAAGATTTCATTTGGCAAAAGTTGGCTCAGAAACACATATGCAAAGCTGAAGTAATAGTAATCCAAGCTACACAATGAAAACATTGGAAAAATTCCCAAATACAGCAGTGCTAGCTAATTTTTCCTCTTAGTTTCAGATGAAAATTCTACCAGCATAGAATAGGAATCATTTAGGAAATTATTTTATATTTCAGAAATTCTGTTTGTTTATCAGAATCACACCTCTGTCCATTTTGCCTACTGACGTATCTGCATGTGCCGTAAACCAATCAGAAGCTTACAATATGTAGATATTACAGTTTCCTTTTTTTTCTTTCAGTTTAGTCCATTAGTGACCCACTGTCACATCTGACAGATCACACAGATTTAGTACCAGAAACTCAGTTGATCACAAATTTTCTTAACTCAGCAATAGATCACAGTGTCATGGAAGTCCAAGACCTATTAGATCATCCAGTTTATCCCTTGAGCAATCAAAGATTGCTCCCTACAATACATTTTCTGGTGTTTGTTCAGTCTAGCTTCAAAGAGCCCAAACAATATCCCTGTGAAGTCAATTCCAACAGGGTAACTCAGCTCACCATCAGCAGTCTTTTCTTGATATTCAGCCCAAATTTTGTTTCGTAATTTCATTCATTACTCTTAATTATACCTCTGAGTACTATGTTAAATGATTTCTGTCTTTTCTCAGTGTTCCTTCAAGTATTTGGGGTGTTTTGTCTCGCTGCCCTCATTATTCTTTTAGCCAAGCTTTTAATCTTTCCTCATAAATCAATCTGTCCAACTCTCCTGGTATTTTTGTTGCTCTTCTTTAAACTCCCTCCAATTTGTCACTATGTTTCTGGTAATGTGGTGAACAGGGGCAGGTTGCTAAGGCATTTTGCCCATGGAGGGAGGGGAATATACCTCTTACAGATCAGGTCACAATATGCTCAGCAGTTCTCCTTACCATTGCTGCTAAAAGAGAATTACATGTCCTGTTCTAGTGCTGCTATTAGTGGCAAGGAGCCTATCAGTATTCCCAAACCATGATTCCTGAGATTCTAGGATGCTACTCATGGAATTTAAACAGGATCTGTGCATAGAATTCAAGGGAGTGCTGGGTCTGTATTATCTGCTGCTCCTGTGAGAGTTCCTGGTGCATGGGGAGAGATGTCCAACACCATTCCTCCTCATCTTGTTGCCCTTGTTGCCAAGAAGGCTAACAGCATTTTGGGCTGTATAAGTAGGACCATTGCCAGCAGATCAAGGGACGTGATTGTTCCCCTCTATTTGGCATTGATGAGGCCTCATCTGGAGTACTGTGTCCAGTTTTGGGCCCACACTACAAGAAGGATTTGGAAAAATTGGAAAGAGTCCAGCAGAGGGCAACAAAAATGATTAGGGGACTGGAGCATATGACTTATGAGGAGAGGCTGAGGGAACTGGGATTGTTTAGTCTGCAGAAGAGAAGAATGAGGGGGGATTTGATAGCTGCTTTCAACTACCTGAAAGGGGGTTCCAAAGAGGATGGATCTAGACTGTTCTCAGGGTACCAGATGACAGAACAAGGAGTAATGGTCTCAAGTTGCAGTGCGGGAGGTTTAGGCTTGATGTTAGGAAAAACTTTTTCACTCGGAGGGTGGTGAAGCACTGGAATGGGTTACCTAGGGAGGTGGTGGAATCTCCTTCCTTTGAGGTTTTTAAGGTCAGGCTTGACAAAGCCCTAGCTAGGATGATTTAGTTGGGGATTGGTCCTGCTTTGAGCAGGGGGTTGGACTAGATGACCTCCTGAAGTCCCTTCCAACCCTAATCTTCTATGATTCTAAAATCTTGTACCCCTGTCTCTATCAACATCTGTGTAAAACAGACCAGGACTTCATCCTTCAGATTAAATTAATCACTTCAACTTGAGAAACTGAGTTTTTCCCCAACTTCAAATCACTTTGATTCCTTCTTGCCAGACTAGTTGAAAAAAAAATTGGGTAACAATCTATTTCTTGGTGTATCAAGCTAATTTTCATAACACTGACTTCTACTTGAAGCCAGAACACTTTTACTCAAGGATGTCACACCCTTTCATTTTTATTTACAAATAATTTAGGTCTAGAGCTGGGCAATTACTACAATAAAATATTTACGAACGTTTGTTTGAGTAAAATCCATACAACTGGCTTTGTCTGTGTTTGTACCTCCTCCCCCAACCCCTTAATTTGCTTTTCAGAACACTACCATGTGACTCAGGTAACCAACCAAATAACACAATCTGTGAATATGCAGATAACAAATACTTGAAGCAATAGCTGCAGTCAGTAGCTCACTAGTAATTTACAGCATGAAATACATTTGTAAAAACTACAATATAAATCCCTGTTACAAAGAAAATGTAAAAATCACAGCCTGTTTATGATTAATTCATGAAATGAAAAATGGTAAATAAACGAATTTCTTCCTGTGTAAAGCTTACCAAGTTCTATTTACATCTGTGGATGTCAATATTCCATCTCCTATATTCTTATTGAAATTAGTATTCATATAATTCCATGCACTAGGTTGGAAGGAGAAGAGAAACAAAACGGGCTACAAAATAAGGCTAGAGCACCAAGCGAAAGTAAACAAAATCATTTTACAAAAGGAACAAGTTTGACAAGTTTGGGGCGGAGGGATAGCTCAGTGGTTTGAGCATTAGCCTGCTAAACCCATGGTTGTGAGTTCAATCCTTGAGGGGGCCATTTAGGGATCTAGGGCAAAAATTGGGGATTGGTCCTGCTTTGAGCAGGGGTTTGGACTAGATGACCTCCTGAGGTCCCTTCCAACCCTGATATTCTATGACGTTTGCTAAGCATATAACCTATGCAGGTGCTGACCACTACAGTGATAATGGTATATTTTCCACAAAGATTACATCTTCTTAAACCATATGTCTAACATGACTATAGTATAGTACACATGCTTTCCTTCATTTCAATATATTTTTCCTAAATATATTTTTTGCAATCAATCTCATTCTTCTCTTATATTTCAAGTTCCTGTACATCTTTTGTAAGGCATTAACAAGGTATTATTACAAGGCAGAATTTTGTAGCATGCAAAAGTCCTTCTCTAGTATCCCCGTCAAGAATTCAATACCATAGAACAAATGTCAGTATTTAGTGCCATTCTAGGTGGGTAAATTATGTTAGTGTGATGACATTTTTTCTGTGAATGCCAAACCTATAAACATACAAGGGCCTGTTGTCTTCTTCTCATTCAAACACATGGTGTAGCATCAAGAGTTAAGGATAAGGAGACAGCAGCTATACCCACATCAAAAGTGGGTCACTAGCATAATGAGCTGGTACTAGAAGCAGTAGTGTCCCTGATGTGCTACGCAATTAATCTGTTCTTGGCCTCTTGGACTAGTGAGGCAGTTACTATACAGATAGTCAACATGTACAGAGTGCAGGCTGTCAAGGCTATGAACCGTTCATTTCTATAGCCGAAAGAAGGAAAATCTTGCCATTTTATCTTATGTATTTTGTTGGTCAAACGCCAACCTAATGACCTTGTTGGGGACACATTTCTGAGTGTTCCTGTTGCTAAATACCATGCAACAAAATCACAATATCTACCACAGAAAATCCTGTACAAATGAATACAGATTTTAAGAAGTCAAATATTTGTGAATAAAAGCTTAATTATGTAACTTCTCAAGAGTCTGATTTCAACTTCAAAACGATTTAACTTACAAGAATCATAAAAAGCCCATAAAAGTACTGATCCTTTGCACCACAAAACCAGACAAAAACAACCAATCAAATTAAGAGGTGCTGTTAATACCTCCATCTCCGTTACTGTCATAACTGAAGACAATTCACCCCTTAGAATGCTGCCATCAAGCACATACTCTTTGATTTACAGTATACCTAGAGAACTCAATGATGACTATATTTTATATTTATATGTATACAACCACGGAGTGCATATGTGTCATAGAGGCTAATATTTTCTATGAAGAGAAGGCAGCAATAATCATTTATTGAAAATTACACTGCAAATCATTCTGCTGTCATGTACTGGCAGAGCTTAGATACAGTATCTTCAGATGAAATATAGACCTGAATATGTTCTATCTCTCAATCACTGTTATTCTCATAGCCTTGCACTCAGGTGCCACTTTGCACATTATTAAACATTTACAGAAGAACAAAATTTCTCCTTGAATAGCAAAGGAAAACCTAAGCCATCACAGTTAAGATTCAAAGACTCATGGTGCCATAGTCGTAGGATAATTTCTTTTCATAGTATTTCACATGGAGGCCCTAGCAAGGGTAGATAAATGTATGCACTGAAGACCATCTTGTTTTAAAGGAGAGCTCACAAGAACATATTTTAAAAAAAGCATTAAAACAGATAATTCTAATTCAAACAAAGAATCTTTTGTAGGACAAATCACAATTTTTGTTTCATTTTTTAACCATAGTTGAAATACAAGTAGACTGCAGTTATAACCCTTCTTTATCAACATGTAATGGTAGACAAAATAAGGTTTCACCCACCTGGGATCTTTCTGAATGCTATCAATGGAAGGTGACCTAGCCAAGGTCCCTTCAGGTGGGATGGCTGGCCCAGATTTGCTGTATGGTGATTCAACAGAAGGACAATACTGCAGCTGTCGGTAGGGGTCTGCGTAATTGGAGGCTGGGCCTGCAGCATAGCTGGCCCTCTGGAAGGTCGATGTTGCGTTCTGTGTGCCGTGCTGACTGCCTGTGCGCTGTAAGGGTACGGAGTCGACACCAGGGGAAGATGGGGCTACGACAGGAAAGTAGGGACAAAGTAAAAAATTGAGGACCTGTTCACAGAAATGGTTAACCAGGTCTAGGCAGAGGAAAAAAATACACACATATAAACAGGGGTTCGAAAAGAATGAGAAAAAAAAGAACAACACTGTCATAGTTGAAAGCAGTGAGGTAAATAACTGTCAAGTGAAAATGCTAAATAGCATGCTACTCATAGACTAAACAATATTTAAAATGGTTACACAGAGATTAGGTAGAAACACTTCTTTGAGATGGGCTTTGAATTACTTACATCATATTCAAGAATGAGTTAATCTGAAGTTAAAAAAATATACAAGCAGCAAAATTCCAAAGCAAGTTTTGTATGCGTCATGAGAAGAGCATGGGAGTAGTTGAGCTAAATTTCAACAGCTCTAAGGGTCTGATTCTGCAGTCTTTACACAGTTCAAACTCTCACCAAAGGAGAGTAGAATCTAAAGTCTGGATTGAAAATGATGACTATTAAAGATGAAACAAATATAGGGATTACTTGTCATCACACTTTTGGGGTCCCAGTTCCTGTAAAATATTCAACACACAGCCCTGCTTGCATTAACAATTTTTCTTGATATCACTATAAACAAGACTCACTTATCTGCTACTTCACTCTGAAAGAGAATTACACTATGCACATTTGTCTCTACCTGTCTAAAAGGGTAATGAAATGTACTAATGACATTTATTGTATCAACAGTTCAGAGCATCTTAACTAACAGATTTAAAGTGACTCAGTGACTTTGCACCTTAAAAATCTTGTTAGTCTGCTTCAGAGTCCATTATCTTTTTTATTATACCACTACAGTAAAGCACACTTCAATATGCCATGTGTACTGGGTTCTTAGCAGCAGCAATTTTAGACCCACGTTCTGCGGTACTGATGATGTCAACTAGATTCTTGTTGTAAGGACTGTAGGATTAGTTCCTATACGGCCTACTGGCCCTGAAACAAGTACAAATAAAAAGCCACTCCTGTTTATGAGAGAGTTCTGAGCAGCAGAAAAAGTAAATGCACTGTAAATGAGCTCATTATGGGCCCAGTGTTGCTCTTATCAAATGCAACAGAAGTTCTGCCATAAATGGCAATGGGTCTAGGCTCAGGATCATTTGATTATGTTAAAATCATAGGTCTATAGGTGAACATGCATCCTCAAGTTCCAGGTCTCATAATAATTTTCCCTGTCATTTCTTTTGATACACACATTTACATTTCAGATGCATAATTACAAATCATTTGCATACTTCATTAAGTTCCATGAAACAACTTTAAGGGTTTCATATTGCAGTATATGTAAAAATTAAAAACGCAATACTCAAAAAGTAGTTAATAGTGCTTGTATGATAGCATCCATCTAACACTAGTACTTGCCAAGGTTAAGACACTTTTTCCATCCAGAGTATGTCTTTTAGTATCTTTCTGTCTTTTATTAGTTTTCCCTTTTTTTTGTACTTTTCATTTTGATGTATATGAACAGTGAGTTGAATCACAGAATTTATGTTATAACAGTTATGACGTCATAATATTGAAAATCTGTTGATTAACAAACATAAGAATACAATACTATCAAGTTATGTTAGTCTATATGAAAATACAATAAAGAAAAATCTTGCTTTGATATTGTCTTTTATCTCATGTTGTATATTTCCTTAATGAATAACCAATAAAAGGATATATATTAAGAATAAACTTCTGTTTCGAAGAGAGATCACTTGTAATGCAATAACTATATCTGAATACTGATAAACTCTGTTCACAAACCAAACCAAAATTCCTGGACTCAGCAGTATTACATTAAGAATATACAGAAAAGGTGGCAGCGTTTTCATAGCAGGGAATAAGTAACATTAACTGAGAAACAAAATGGAGTGTCACATGAAAAAAGAAAATTATTCAAAAAAGCAGAAGTTAGGAAAAAGTAGTAAAAATAACAAGTAGAAATGAAAGAAAAAGAGCAATGAACTGCATTAAGATCTTGATATTTAGGAGATGGAATTATGACATGGGGAATGCTTTCAACTTTTGATCTCTCATTGAAATCTGGAGCGTTGCAAAAAGCTCTAACTAAGAACTCTGCTAAAAAGGAGGCCTTTCATTACCACATTGCCCCATGTATTTCATCATTTTTTCTTGCAACACAGTTCAATGAAGCACTAACAAAATAGTTGATACTTATTTTGTTTCCATCTTATTTTCTCTTTTGTGTTTCTATCAATAAGGCAACTGTATGAACTGAAGCTAGTTGTCACACTTCTAACACCTACATGCTTTTTGACTCATTCGGATTCATTTTCATAATTATGTTGTCCTAACAGGCTATTATTTCCTTTTGAATTTTATTATCATGTACACAGATTTGTGGTAGTTAGAATATGAAAGAATAAGACCAATAGTTGACAAGATAAAACATACCTTTAAAGAAATTCCTGTTAAGATCTGCTTTCTTTTCAACTATGGTAGGTCTCCAGTGAACGGGTAAGGAAGAGTAGGCACATGTTCAAGGTGGGCCTAAGTAGATGCGTTTGAAACACAGAAGGTTCAGTTTGGAGATGTTTGTGCAATTCTTTTATTTGGTTTTAAATCATGTGGGTTCGTACACCCCCTGAATTTTGCTTTGGCTTTTGGATATGAATGAACCCTCCAGAACAAAGTAAAGCTCAGCTGAAAACAAAGAGGTCTGTTTGGAACCACAAATTGTCCCAGGGCTGCTGAAAACTAAAGCCAGGTAATTTTGTGAGCAATAGTTCATTTTCTAATATAGTACCAGATTTACCATGGCACCGGGCCCATGCTCCAAAGGGGCCCTGGCCCAGCGTGCTCTTCTCTGCCCCCTGCTCTCTCCCGTGGGGGAGAAGCTTGGTGCTGCGGGCTCCTGGGGCTCCTGCTGCAGCAGGGCAGGCTCCACTGACGGCCAAGCTCCTCCCCCGCCTCTCCCATCAGCATGCTGCATTCCTGCCCCTCCCCCTCTCCCTCCCTCTGCCGCCGAACAGCTGTTCGCCCGTGCAAGGGAGGGGGAGGAGCGGAGCCGCAGTGCACTCGCCCCCTCACACACCCCCAGCCCCCTGCCCTGACTCCTTCACCCTCTCACACCCTCATGACCCCAGCCCTGACTCCTACATCCCCCACACATATCCAGCCCCCCCACATCCCATGCCCTGACTCCTTCACACACCCCCAGCCCCCAGTCCTGACTCCTGCACCCCCCACCCCCATCCTGAGCACCAAACGGGAGTTCCTGCCCACCCCACTTTCCCACCTGCACCCCTCGCACCAAATGGGAGCTGCCCCAGGTAAGCACTCCACACCCCAACCTCCTGCCCCAACCCTGAGCCCCCTCCCTCACCCTAGCTCCTGGCCAGACCCTGCACCGCAACCTGCTCCTGCACCCTAACTGCCTCCCAGACACTGCACCCCCAGCCCTGTGCTCAGTGCACCCCAACCCTCAGCTCAATGCAGAGAGAGACAAAGAGAATGGGCTAGAACCAGGGAGAAGGTAGGTACTCACTCTGTGGGGGGAGGATCCTGTTTACCCCCTCCCCAGCCCTGCTGCCCTTGTAGTTTACCCCCAGCCCGTCCCTTGCTCCAGGGACCAACCCTAGCTTCTGCCCCACTACGCTTTTGCCCCTGGCCCCTGCCTCACTCCAGCTGGGGACCAATCCTTCCCCCCCCCCCATGCCACACTTGTCAGGGTGGATAAAAATCAATGACTTTTTAAAAAAAATCGAAACAATCAGATTTTTTTTATTTAAATCAGATTTTTGAGGAATAAACCTATCTAAAGATCGTTTTAATTAAGATACATTATATCTCATCATGGAATAGGGATTATAAATTCTAATTCTATAGTATGAGACAATATATTCATGTAATATTTAAGAAAAGTTTTGTAAATGAGTTCTAATAGTTCATGGATTAGGGACCCAATCTTATGGAATTCCACAGGCTTCTGTATAGATTATTTAGGTTAATCTTTCTATCTACCCAACGGGATTTAGTGCTCAGTCTAGAAGATACCACCAGAGATGCTTAGTTTTGCAGTTCTCAAACTGTGGATTTGTGTCTCTAGAGGTAACATGCTTGTTAACAGCAAAAATGTTTTTAAATAACTAAATAATATATACAGGTGAGAAATAACAGACCTCAACTCGATGCTCCCTCTGGAAATTTGTGTACTCAAAGTCAATCCCTTACTTCTCTTTAAAAGTGAAAAGTTTCAAAAATAGAAGATTGTTGGGGACGGAATAGATCTGGGCAAGGAGAAGAAGTCTGGAGATAAATGTGAGAAGCAAGGGACATATGCTTTTTTGTTAAAATATTATGTTTGCTGTTGAAGAAAAAAAAATCCAGAATACTTAACGTTGTTGTTTTGGTTAAATAATACAATTTAAATGTCTGTCTGGTGATGTTCTCCTCCTAACACAGTCTGGCAAGAAAATCCTCCAAATATTAATGATTAACCTGTTGAATTGGAGATAGTTCACCTCCCAATGACTTCATAAATATCTGCTTCAATTACCTTTGGTAAATGAAATAACCAAACAATCATTTTCTGATGTAGTTGTAAAACTCATCTGAAAAGTTTTCAGAATAAATCACTGTTTAAAAATGTATAGTGTGAACCTCATCTATCTCTGAGTTGTGAAGAATACGTATTAAGGTTATAACAACCAACAAGAATGCACTTTTATGTAGAAAACCATGATTAAATTGAGTCTTCCTAACTAGTGATTCAAATCATGATTTAAATCAAATCTACCCTGCCCCCTGTGCTCTCGACTCTTGCCTCTTCATTCCCCAGGGGAGCCCACAAACATGTTTGGCACCTGGCCCACAAAAAGTTAATCCCGCCCTGCCAATGTAGACAGAGCTACAGGGTCACTTCCAAGAGTCTTCTGTTGTCACAAAAAATAGGAAATACAAAGATCCAGAAAGTTCAGATTAAATCTGTCATTTGTGGCCTATCTTGCTTCTTTATGTTT